CCCTCAGTGTTGCCCCCGCACCGGACCGGGGACCAGCAACGGGATCGCAACCCTCGGTGTTGCTCCCGTGCCTCGCTCAGCCAGTGAGCGGGAACCGGTCTGTATGTGGGAGCCGAACCCTCGGGCGGGAGCGCCGCCGCGCTTCCCAAGCGGCGCACTTATCCAGTGCGCCACCGGGCCGGCCCCCCAAATTCTCTTCTTTTTTTTTTTTTTCCTTTTTGTCTTTTTTCGTGACCGGTAACAGGGTCGCAACCCTCAGTGTTGCCCCCGTACCGGACCGGGGACCAGCAACGGGATCGCAACCCTCGGTGTTGCTCCCGTGCCTCGCTCAGCCAGTGAGCGGGAACCGGTCTGTATGTGGGATCCGAACCCTCGGGCGGGAGCGCCGCCGCGCTTCCCAAGCGGCGCACTTATCCAGTGCGCCACCGGGCCGGCCCCCCAAATTCTCTTCTTTTAACCCCACAAATTAAACATTTTTTTTGGTGTACAAAGTTCATATTGTACATTTACCCTCATACTCACTATTTGCATTATTCACACAATTTCTTCTGGCTTATCAAACCTTCTCTCTGGGGCTGCGCTTTTCTCTCCTAAGTTATATTCCATAGAAGTTTTATTACTGAGGGTCTGTTAATGGTAAACTGTTTTTGCTTATCTACAAATGTCTTTTATTCTATTAGTCTATTATTATTTATAATATAGACTACATGTATATATAGTCTATTAGTCTATAATATATAGACTATATAGTCTATTCTATTATTTAGTCTATTATTATGATTTTTAAAAGATGATTTTAAAGTGACAGTCACTTACTCTCAGCGCTTTGCAGATGTCATTCCACTGTTGTGTGGCTTCCACTGTAGCTAAGTTAGCTCTCGGTCTAATTGTCATTGTTTTTGTCTCTTTTTTTAGTGGCTGGCCAGTGTGGGGATCTGAACCCATGACCTTGGTGTTACAAGGCTGTGCTCTAACCAACCATGCTAACCAGCTAGCCCCTAACTGTTATTCTTTTTTAGGCAATCTGTCTTTATTCTCTGGCTGCTTTTAGGATTTTCTCTATGTCTTTGGTGTTTCACAATCCTCTATGATGGTTTCTAGGTAGGGGTTTCATTCGTCCTTCTTGGGGTTTCTTGAGCTTCCTGGATTTATGAATTGGTGTCTTTAATCAATTCTAAAAAATTCTCAGCCATCTTCTTTTCTTATATTCCCTCTCCTACTTTTTCTCTGTCCTTTCTTTTCAGAACTTCAGTGAGATATACACAAGTTCTTCTCACACTCTCTTCCACGTCTCTCTCCTTTTTTTTTCTTTTTCCTTCCTAACTTAGAAGCAGATCCTCCATGTCTCTTAACTTCTCTTTTAAATTTTCTGTCTTTATCTCTCTTAGTTATATGCTTTATAATTTCTTTTATCTACCTGCCTTTTTAAATTTCAATGGTTATCTAGTTTAATTCAAGAAGTTCTATTTGTTCTTTTTCCAAATATATGACTTTTGGTGGATCTGATCCTTGTTCTCTCTACTGATTTTCAAGTGGCAAAGCAGGACGTGAACCTAGGGCTCCCTCCACAAAAGCCTCTACCTTCTCAGACCCAGGGTTAGAATGACATCCCCTAGCTGTGGAGTAAATAAAACCAACTGGGAACTCCTAGAGAAAGGCTAAAGAGAATGTCTCAACTTTCTGTCTTCTCGACAGTACTTAATATCCAGAAGGTACTGGACACACATTGATCAAGCTGACATGTCAGACCTAGGAGAGTTTGTAACACAGATGTCAATGGGAGCCAGGTGGTATCACAGGAAGTGATTAAGGCAGGTACAAGTAACAGGGAGTATTGAGGACCCAGGCACACTGGAGAGTCCATGCCATGTCCAAGTGCGATGGCTGCTACTCAGTATCAGCCAGTTGTTCGTGTGTGAGTTAAGCCTATTGTTGCCAGACCTTCCAAGAATCCAGAAATACAGACATATACCTAACCTTTGCCAATTTTCATAGTACGAGGTGGGCCAGAAACGTGGCTGGGATTGAGACCCCTGGCAGAAGCCTCTCCCTGCTTGCTGTCTCATTGTTGTGCTCTTGGTTTTTACTGGGGTCTGATATAAGAAACAGCCACACTAAAAATGACACTGGGTATAAAGATTTGTTGAATGAATGAATGAACAGGTTAGGAGGCTATGAGGAGGTGTTAACAGGGTGGGGAGATAAGCAGAAGTTAGGGGGGCTCCAAGGAGAGGGGCCTTCACTTACCTGGAGTCTCCGCAGGAACCGCTCCAGGGCGGGCCTGCCCACAGAACGGATTTTGCTGCGGTCGAGGTGGACCCGGGCATCCGGGCGCCCATCTGAGCCTGCAGTGGGAGTGACAGTAACGAGTCCCTCGCCAGCCTCCAGCAAGACCCTCAGGATCACAAACCGGGCCTGCATGTGGGCCTGCCAGGCCAGGGGGAAAGGGGTCATTCGTAGCCAGTAACAAGTGCTTGGTCCAAGGCCTGATATATAGTATGTGCCCATTAATTGTCAATTATTATTGTCATTTTATCCTCTCCCCTGCTATGGGTCCTTTTCTGCCTATTCCCGTCCCCTAAATGCTTCCTCCCTCCTCTGCTCACAGGGAGGCCATTTTCAGGTAGAACCTGGGGCCCTGTGCTCCCCCTTTTCACCCACCATGGCCCCTGCTGCTTCAGACCCTCCCCCGAGGATGGCAGCTGCTTCCAAGGGCCCCTGAGAACTTTCTCCTCCGCAATCTTGTTTGTACTCATCAGTGGGACCAAGTAGGCATCACTGTCCGTACTTTACAGATGACAAAACAGAGACTCAGAGAGGTGAAGTGACTTGCTCAGGGTCACACAGCTGAAAAGGCCAGGACACACACTCTGACCCAAGTTTCTGGGATCTACAACACGTATTCCTTTTTTTTCGGTGGCTGGCCAGTAAGGGGATCTGAATCCTTGACCTTGGTGTTATAACACTGTGCTCTAACCAACAGAGCTAACTGGCCAGTCCTAAAACATGTACTCTTTTGATGACATAATATTGAGTTCTCAAACCACGCTTATTTGAGATTGTAAAAAAATTTCTATGGCTTACCCATTTCCAATGTGCATATGATAACTGAGCAACCGAGCCTAAGGGCTCTGGAGGCAAACTGTGTGGATTTGAAGCTCTGCCACTTATGGCAAGTTACTTAATCTCTTTGTGCCTCAATTTCCTTATCTCAAAAATGAGGATAATAATAGGGGTTGATGCTGGGAATGAGTTAATTCATGTAAGGTGCTTAGCACTGTGTGTGGCACAGAGTAAGTCAGTTGTTAATAGTGGGAGGAAAATCATCTCATCTGATTCATCCTGAAAGTGGCTGGGGAGAAATTATTACTCCCATTTCACAGACAGGGATACTGAGGCTCATGAGAGTGATGTGACTTGCCTCCCAAACACTGGAGTGTGGGATTAAACTCAGTTCATCTGCCTTATACGTACAATTGTCCCATCCCTCACCCAGAATCCCAATCTTGGCGCCCACTGCAGGCTCCCTCCCGCCACCTGAGGGCCCCACCTAACTCATACCTGTCGCCAGCTGGAGGCCTCAGGGGTGTAGAACTCTAGAGCAAGCAACCCAGCCCGAACCATGTTGAGCCAGTTCACGTAGATGACATCTTCTGCATCTTCCCCCTCGAAGCCAAAGATCCTGGTGGGAAGAAGGGCAGTTGGCAGAGATGATTAGAGGCTGTCCTGCCCTCCTGGCAGCAGCCCCTCCCCTCACAGGTGGGGTCCCGCCCCCACAGCCAGCTGCTCATACTCCAGCACTTGGGGGTTGAGGCAGAGGTAGAGGCCCACAGTCTCAGCCCGGCACTCTTCATAGCTGGAGGCGATGGTGCTGAACTTGCTGTCCCATGTCTCCCCGCTCCGGTACCAGCTCTGAATCTGGGAGAGGAGGCCCAGGAATCAGGCTAGGGGGGCCACTGCCCACCCGTGCCCACCCTCCCAGCACCCCAGGGCTCCACCAAGGCTGTTCTCACCTGCTCCCCCGTCTCTGGGTTGATCACTGTCTCCTGGTCAAAGTTGAACACTCCTTTCTCATCCTGTATGAGAAGGGTCATGAACGTGGGGCAAGTAAGAGGAAGATGTCCCAACCCCAAATCCACAGGCTCAGGAGTGGCTCAGAAGGCAAGCGGGGAGCAGCAAGCAAATAGGAGGTCCATTGACAACCGATGCCTCCAAACTTCCCCAGAGCCCTCCGGAGTGGAAGAACCAGAGCCACCTACCCCACTGCACAGGGAGGGAAACTGAGGACCAGACAGGAGGAACATGTCTGAAGTCACGTGAAGACCCAGAGCCAGTATCTCTGGGGCTCAATCGGAGATGCCCCCATGGTGGGCCAGAGAGCTGGCTGCTCCTCCCCAACCGCTTTTTGGCCTGTGTCACGGCGCTGCCAAAGGAGGCTACAGCATTATCCTCCCGGTCCCACCATGCACCAGGCGTCCTTCACGTATCATCCACTGAATCCTCACAACTGCTTCCAAAGAAGGTTCTATTATTACCCCACTTCATGGATGAGGAAACTGAGGCTCAGAGACTGAAAGTCCAAACTGGAATCAGAGCACATAACACTTGGGTACACTATCTCTTAACACTAACACCCATTTGCCGAGGGCCTACTACATGCCAGGGCTTAGTACCCATCTTCCTTTTTATTTCTCACAACAGACCATGTGGTTGGGTCAGGACCCCATTTTACAGATGGGTCAACTGAGGCTCAATAAGAACTGACTTATCCAAGAGCCTGGATAAAGCCTGGACAAGGCATTACACCAGGCTGCTGTCCCCATCAGCTGCTCCCCAAAGCCTCCTGACTTCCCAGGCCCAGCTCCAGTCCTTCCCTATCCAGGGAAGCAGCCTTACCCCATGGGAGCAGACCCAACCCAGATCCCTGCTTTCTCTGATGGTCCATGCCCAACCTCAGTTATCTCTGTGCGGCTCCGTGCTGGGAGCCCACACAAGCTTTTCTCAGCCTGCCAGAAAGGCTGTCTGCCTTTTCTGTATTCCCCAGGTGGGTGTGGACTCTTCCAGTCTGGCTAGCTGGCAGGAAGGAGCTGCTCTGGGGAGAAGTGGCTCCTTACAACACCTGAAAAAGTACAGGCTCCAGGGAATAGCAGTGCAAAGAGACGGTACTACAGCCTCAGGACAAGGAGTGTCCAGAGACTGCCCTCTCCCAACCTCTGTTCTCAGGGTGGGCTTCTTTGGCCTGAGCCAAGCAATTCCTCCTGGTGTGGGGGACAGCAAATGAACTGTCCTGGAGGCCCCTTGTCACCCATTCAGTCATCTGAGCTCCTGGGACATCTTGGGGGAGGGCAAGACAGGGTCTTCCCCCAGAGAAATCAGGTTTAGGGGCTGTTTTCTCCACTGACCCAAAGCCCCCAAGTGTAGAGACTAGAGCACCTTCGCCCCTGCATAAGGCTGGGTGTCGGGGAGGGGAGCTGTGGGCCAGGAACCGGGGGCAGCTTCTGCTGGCACCAAGGTGGCCACACCTTCTTACCTGCACGAAGAGTTTGCCGCTGCCGTGGCCTAGCAGCTCATGCAGCCCCACCTGCACGTCAAAGGAGGGCCCCTTCCAGCGGATGTACAGGTCCTGCCGAGACAAGCAGAGATCCATCCTGTCCACTGTCCTGTCACGGAGCCTGTCAGGTTGGCTTCCCCTCCCCCTGGCCAAGGGTCCACCGCAGTTCACATGCTTGGTGTGGGCTGACTGAGCTCCAGACCCTTGCGGAGCCCTCATCCCTGCAACTACCCAGGAGTGGGGGCTGCCTCTGCCATGTGGCCAGTGAGGAAGCTGAGGCTCCAAAGTGGCACACGGTCCCATGGCTGGGCAGCAGCAGAGCCAGGACAGAAGCTGTGCTCTTTCACCCCCACTGCTCCGGGCGTCTGCTTCCTACATCTGCCAAGGCAGGGAAGGCCCAGCCCGACCCTCTGCCACTGGTGCCCACCTTGTCATCCTCCTCCAGAAAGGTGAGCTTCTCCCGCTGCGTGGCATACGCCACAGCCAGCACGTTCCCCAGTGACACATTCTTAAAGCCTTCTGTCTGCCTCAGGTCATCATCTGGAGAAGGTGGGGAGGGCACCAGGAAGGGGGACAAAGGTCAAGGGCTACACATACGAGAGGAGCAGGCTGAGACAGTGAATTGGAGGGGCAGGGGCGGCTCTCAGTTGAGGCTCCCGGGGTTTGGAGGGACAATGCCAGGGCTCAAGGGCCAGGCTTGGGGAAGCTCACAGTTGGGAATGTTGATGCCAGCAGGGATGCCGGAGCCGGCGAAGGTGAGAACATCCAGGGAGGTGAAGTCTGGGGTAAGGAACTTGTCCTTCTCGAAGGCTGGGGGCCAGGGCAGCTCCTTCAGCAGCTGCTCTGCACTTGCCACCAGACGCTCAAACTTGGCACTCATGGCTTTGTTCACCATGGCCACGAAGCCTGCAGAGGAGGGGCAGCAAGGGAGGGGCGGCAGGGGAGGGGCAGCTGTGGCTTGGCAGGCTTCTGGGAGGGATCTGGCGCCACCCTACTCAGTCCCTGGACCCCTCCAGCCAGCAGGCAAATGCCTGCTGTGCAGTGACCCCACGCTGGCTGCTGGGGGCAGCAGTGATCCAGGCCTGGGCCCTACTGGATCAGGACCCTGGCAGAAAAGCATCAGGCAAGAGAACCTGTGTCTCCCCTCAGGCCTCCTCCCTGGGCCCGGATGTAGGGCCTCAGACTCGAGCCCACCAGGGCTGCTGCACTCTCCTCCCTCCTCCCAGGCTAATCTCTCTGGCTCTGGCAGGTGGGTGCTCAGACTCTGCATCCAGGGGCTGGGGAGGATAAGATGAGTGAATCCTCATGCTGGACACCCTGCCTTGCACAGGCGGGTCCCAGAGGGACGTGGGGCTGGGGGCTGAGGCAGGCTGCCACCAGCCCAGATGACAGCAGCCAAGTCAGGCTCACAGTCATAATGTCAATCGTGCTCCTAGCCACCAGCACAGCAGTCTCACATGATCTCACTGCTGCTCAGAGGCTGGCTACACAGCTAGTGAGTGACAAGCCAGGCTTGGAATGCATGTCTGTCTAGAGCTGGGGTGCCTGGGCTCCGCCACTCACATCTGTGAAATGAGGATAAAAATCCTCATAGGACAATAATGTCTAAATGAGTTAATACAGGTAAGCTTTGCGAAACATGCCCAGCACGTGGTAAATAATGTTTATTTACCATGGCTCTTGTTATTGTTATTATTACCATCAAGGGTGGGAGGGAGAACCCTCAGGCGACACTGGAAGTGTAAACCTGGACACGGGGGAAGGGATTCCCATCTAACCTCTCCCTTCCTCCCAGAAGTTACCTTCAAACTCTCCTCGGGAACCAAAGGGGTCGCGGTAGCTCTCGATGAACCCGATGTAACTGGGGGAGAGAAGGGCAGAGATGGAGTAAGGGCGGGGAGGAGGGGGGGTGGGGGTGCAGGCTGGCCTCACCTCTCCACGATGGGGCCTTTGTCCTGGATCCAGAAGCGGGAGCCCCTCTTGTGGGCCTCGATGGAGCCCTGGATAAAGCTTTCCATGTACTGGGCCAGCATCTGCTCCTGCTGGCTGTTGGCCGCATATGCCTGGGAGCAAGCAGGGCTCGGTCAGCTTTGGGCCACCCATCCACCCCCCTTTGCTGCCCAGAGGGGTCCTGAGCCTGCACCCCTCAGTCCCTAGCCAGCCCTACCTTGGCTTTCTCCAGATGCTCCACCACTTTCTGAAGTATGGGGGCATAGTCCCCCCGGGTCACCTGGAAATGTCTACCCCGGAATTCATAGCTCTTCAGCTTGGAAGTCACTTCAGAGTCCAGGGCAGGCTCTGAGGAAAGAGGGACCACTCAGGGGAAAGGCCAGTGTAAGACGCTTCAGCAGGCTTTTCATCATGGCACTTTTACGGTAAGATCTTCAATGGCTCCCCAGTGCCTACAGAAATTAGTATAAACTCTCATCTTCAAAAAATATATATTATGTAACATGCAATGTTCTAACTCATTTAAGCCTCACACCAACCCTGGGGTAGGGAGAAATCATTATCTCCATTTTACACATGGGGAAACTAAGGCACCAAGAGGTTAAGGAAGTTTTCTAAGGTCACATGGATAGCAAATGACAGAGCAGAAATTCAACCAGAGCAGCAGATTGTATGTAAAAAGACAGCCACATCGCCAAGGTAATGGCAATGGTCCCTATCAGGAGGCAAGAGGGTGAGTGGGGAGTAGGAGATGTGACAACAGAAGAAAGAAGCTGGAGCAAAGTGAGGAAGGGGTGATGAGCCAAGGAACGCAGGCGGCCTTCCAGCGGCTGGAAAGGCAAGGAACAGATCCCCCCTGAGGACTCCAGAAGGTACACAGCCCAGCTGACACCATGGACTTTGGACCTCCAGGACTATAATAGAGTAAATTTGTGTTGCTTTGTGCCACTTAATTTGTGGTAATTTGTTACAGGAGCAACGAGATCCTAATACACTGTTGTATTTTGCTTGTGTCTGATCAATATACTTCTAGGCTATGTAAAAATTAAAAAAAAAAAAAAATAGCCCCAGTATTTCCTTCTCACTTGCTCTTCTTTCCTGTGACTTCTCCCATTGAGTGTGGGATCCACATTCCCTCCCCTTGTAGCTGGGCAGGCTCAGAACTATAGCAGACGTGATGCCATGTGACTGTCCAGGCTAGGTCACAAAAGGCCATAGGGCTTCTGCCTGGCTCTCTTGGGAGCTCACTCTTGGAGCCCAGCCACTGTGAGCAACATGAAGAGGCCACATGAGGTGTTTTGGCTGACAGCCTCACCTGAGGTCCCTGCTGACAGCCAGCTTCTACATGTGCCGAACTGCACTTTCAGTGACACCAGCCCCTAGCTGTTGAGTCTTCCAGCTGAGGCCCCAGACACTGTCAACCAGGGACCAGCTGTTCCTCCCATGCTCCATGCAAATTCCTGACCCACAGAGATCATGAGCACAAAAAGCCGGTTTTCTATCACTTGGTTTTGGGGGTGTTTGTTACACAGCGATAGATAACTGATACACTAGGGCAGCCTGGCTCCAGAGTCACACACTTGGCCACTGTCCTACGCTGCATCCTGTACTGCGAGAACAGACCCAGCTTATGTTCTGGTGGGATGTACTGCTATTCCCCTGAACCCGTATCCTTCTCCCTCATCAAATCAAACTGCCTGCTGATCCCTAAGCTTTCCCACCATCTTGCTTTGGCTCACACTGTTCCCTCCACCTGCAGCACAGTCCCCCATACATCTTCGTTTCTGTCCACACCCAGGCTCTGAGTATCTCCCAGGTGCCAGGCACTGGGGAGACAAGGGTGAATGAGATTCACGGCCCCTCCTCTCAGGGAGTTCGGAGTCAAATGGGGGAAACAGGAAAATAACTGGGAGATGACTGGGTGTGCTGATGGGAAAGAGAAGGGCGTGGACTCAGCTGTGGGAAGATGAGGAAGGTGCTGGGGAAGGCAATGTCCACGCACGGCCTAGAGGATGGGGAGAGTTGGCGAGGTGAGTGCAGAGGGGCTGAGGGTGTTCTGGGCAGGAAGGGAAACAGATCGTGCAAAGGCCTGGAGAGGGCAGTGAGAAGTGGAGGTGGTGGGCCACAGCCAGAGCACAGGGTCTGGGCAGGAGGCTGTGGGGGAGACGCGGTAGGTAAAGCAGGGTCGGGTAGATGGGGAGGGAGAAGAAGGGAGGAGGAGGAGGAAGGGGAGAGATTGGATAAGGGGCATAAAGAATAAGTATGATTTATAACAATGAATATGCTAATAAGAAAAAAAGAAAAAAAAAAGCAGGGCCGGGTGGCAAAGGTCCTCAGAGCGGCCTGAACGTTTCTGTCCACACTGTGTCCATCTTCCCCTTGCCTGGTAACAGCCCCAATTTCCCATTGAAAATCCCCCCTACTACCACCCCCAGTCCAGTGGTCTGGGAGGAGCTGACCTCATCACCTGGCTCCAGGGTAGGCTTGCGACTAGGTGGAGCCAGTCAGATACCTGCTGCTTGCCTGCCCACAGGGACTGGCTCACAGATAAACATGCAACCCAAAATAGAGAAATAAGAGGCACTCCCAGGGTTTATGCAGAAACTCCTGGGAGAGAAGGACCCACTTACTGCTGGAGTGGCCGGGCTGGTGGCCTGGGCCACCCAGGTTCAGAAATGCTAAGGAAAGAGTAGAAAGGTCGTGAGGAGAGGCTGCCCAGGCCTGAGCTCACCTGTGCCAAGCACAGAAGCCAGCCGCACCTCATAGCAAGGCTTCCCTTCCTGGCTGACCTCCTTGAAGAGCCGCGTGTTGTAGGCACTGAGGTTCTGGAAAAGATCAGGGCAGGGTTAAAGGGAGAGTGAGGTCTGGAGAGGGCAATGGGGTGGGAAGAGGGAAAGTGGGTCATGCCAGGGAGAGAAGGCTTGGAGGCAAAGTGGTGGGGGGGCCTCTGAGGGACCTTCCCAAGTGGTCTGGGAGCAGGAGAGTGGAGGTGGGTGGTCACGGCTGACTCTCCTGCTGTGCTCAGTACACTTGGCACTAACTTTTTCGAAGTTAGTGATGACTGTGCCAGGCCCTGCCTGATCTCAGCTACACCAGGGCTACACAAGGCGGTTCGCTTTCACAGACAGGGAAGCTGGTCACACAACTGGTGAGCAGCTGACTGGAAGTTCCACCTGACACAGGGACCCTGGAGCTCAAGCTCAGAAGTGGCTCTGGTGTCCTGCCTCGTGCTGCCTGCAGTTGTCATTGGGCCCTACGGCCTGGGTGGGGCAGGGGCAGCTCTTTCCCTGGCACACATGAGGACCCTTGTTCGTGCCAGGTGGACCTCAGATAAGGATTCCCCAAGTCTTTTCCACCTCAAAGATCCAAGATGCCCGTGCTCTGGGTCCAAGGTGAGACCCAGTAGTGGGTACCAGTGGTTAGGGGGCTGGGCCGAGGTGCTCCACCAAACCACCACCCTGAGTTCTGCAACCCCACACCTGTGAGTCCAGAAAGTCTTGAGCCAGTTTGGCATCTTCCATGGTACAATCCCCAGAGAAATAGGTGGTGATTCCCTGTCAGGGAAGAGAGGGGAGGTGGTAAAGAGGAGTTGCCGAGGTCGGGGGGCTTGCAGGGACAGCTGGTGAATGCCTTCCCAGGCTTCCTACACCTCCTCTCAGCAGACTCCACCCTGCCCCTCCATCTCTTTCCAGGAGAAAAAGTTGTAAAACAAGCAGAAAATGCTCCTCTTCAGCCTTCCTGCAGCTCTGCTCCAGCCTCTCCCAGGCTGGCCCACCCCTAAAGCTTGCTGTGGCCTTATCCCATGCAGCCCAAGCAGCCTCCAGAGGCAGGAAGCCAGTGACTCCCTCCTTCCCCATCATCCTCTCCTCAGCTCCCTCCATCTCCCTGCTCTTCTCTCCTTCCCTCCTCCTGCACACAGCATCCTAGGATGTCAGATCTGGGAGGGCATTCAGAAAGCATTCCATCCGACCTGCTTCCCATTTTACAGATGACAACACTGAGGCCTGCAGTGAGGGGCAGCTTTGCCTCAAGAGTGTGAGGGGGAGCCTACTGCCTCCCTATCAGACGCTCTTCCCTACACACCAGGTGGCCCCAAAGGACACCTTCCACTCTCCCATGCAGCCGGGGGCCTCACCTCCTTCCCCAGGCCGAGGTGCCGAAGCCTTGGCTCCAGAGAGAACATAAGCTCCCCGCAGGTCTGCCAGAGGCTCCTGATTTCTTCCGGGTGCTGCTGGGCGGCCTTACTCCCCAGGATCACCTGTTCCAGCTTCTCCTACAGGGGAAGGGAAGCCATTGGTCCCATCATACCACCCAAACCTGACCCCCAGAGCCTTCTCATCTACTTCCAAGCTCTTTTTCACAGTCTAAGAGCTTGGGCTTGGAGTGTGGTCCATGGACCAGCAGCACTGGCAGTGATGAGAAATGTCGTAACTTGGGCCCCCCCATTGCAGAGCTGCTGCCTTCCAACAAGATCTCCAGACAAACAATTACATTGTGTAATGTTGGTGGAGTGTGGTCCATGGACCAGCAGCACTGGCAGTGATGAGAAATGTCGTAACTTGGGCCCCCCGATTGCAGAGCTGCTGCCTTCCAACAAGATCTCCAGACAAACAATTACATTGTGTAATGTTGGATATACTAATTATCCTGATTTAAGCATCACATATTGCACACAAGTAATGATATTCAACTCTGTACTCCACAGATATGTACAATCAACTGTTACAATTGAAAAAAAATAAAAGGTCACTGGGTAACTCATGTGCACTGTAGAGTCTGAGAGCCTGACGGTCCCTGGGCGGGATGACCGTGCCCAGGCCTCTCCACTGTTCCCAGTGATGACCAACGGGCTCCACTTTTGCAAACACCTGATAGTTCACAGAACCCTTCCACATCCTGCCTTTTTTTTTTTTTTTTGGTGGCTGGCTGGTATAGGGATCCAAACCCTTTGACCTTGGTGTTATAACACCGTGCTCTAACCAACATATCCTGCCCTTGTTCCACCCTTGGATCGGCATGGTCTGGAAGAGCTGTGTTTTTACTTTACACGAGAGGAAGCTACAGCACCTAGTCAGACTGGGTGACACCCACAGTTGCACAGTGCAGCAGTGTCAAGTCAAGGCTCTGCTCAAGGCCCCTGACTCTGGTTGGGGCTCCAGAGGCTGCGTTCCCCACCCCCACCCCATCAGACTCCTCCTTCCCACCTTCCCCAACCCTTCCTCAGCTCACCTTGGGCAGGTTGGGAACAAACTTGGTGTCACCAAAAGACTTGTAGTTGCCCATGTTGGAGTAGACACCGGCGGCATAGACCAGGAAAGCCTGAGGGAGGAGGTAGGCCTCAGAGACCTGGGAAGCACAGCCTCCCCCACCCCAGGGAGGTCTCCTCCTGAGAGGCAAACACCCCAGTGCAACCAGTATGGGTGAGGCTGGGAAATCTGGGGGCAGGACGAAGAGCCTGGGAGGCCACAGTCTGGCCCCAACTTACTTTCACAGACCAATCCTCACATCTCTGTTGTCCACCCAAACCAGTCTTCTTAGCAGTTCCCAAACACACCCAAGTGCCCACCCACCTTTGCTGCCTCTAAGCCCAGCACCCTGTCAGCAGCCTATGGCCTATAGGGCCTTTAAGGCCCACTTAAAACACCACCTCCTTCTCTAGGATGCTATCCTCAGCCCCTGACCTGCCAGGCAGCTGGCATTGGAAGCACCAAATGTTAGAACTGGAGGGGGCCTCACTTTTCCATCTACTCTATGGCTTTTGTTGGCCCAGATCTAGTCTCCCTTCCTCTGGTAACAAGACCTCAATCTTCCTTTTCAGAGATGGGGTTCCTAGAGCAGGCATGTAAGCTGGCTTGGCCAGTCAGAGAAATCACCTTCCCTGGCTACAGGGATGGGCATAAGGCTCAAGCTGGCCAATAAGAGCTCTACCCAACAAAAAAGAATGAGGTGGATTTATATGTACCCCATAAAAGTTCTGCAAGACATGGTGATTAATGAAAAAAGCAGGACACAGAACATGAGGAGCACGATCTCATTTATGGAAGGGAAAATAGGGAACTGATCACTGCACATGTACATGTACAAGTATGTAATACACAGACAGGGGACGGGCTGCCGCACCAGCCTCAGCAGTTACCTTTGGGGAGGGCACTGAGAATGAATGATCTTCGTGTTTTGATTTGTGTCTTTCTGTATTGCTGCAATGCACTAAGAATTCACCTATTACTTGGCCAAGAGATCCTCAAATGAACAAAAACTAGAGGACAGGCACAACATTCTGCCCGAGGCCATGCAATGTGGTAGAGAAAAACTGGTCCAGAAATCAGACCTCCTGATTCCTACCCTGGACTCTTTCCTTTACCTTCTCGGAATCTCTACCACTGTTTCCTTTGTTATAAATCACAGCAGCCACTGTTTTTCTTGTTCTAAGTGGGTCACCACAACAACATGAGGCAGACAACCCATGTGCATATTTTACAGATGAGAAGACTGAGGCTCCAGGAGAGGAGGTTCCTCAATTTGTAACCTGTGGTCTAATCCTCTACCTATTCCTTAAAAGAGAGAGAGCTTTGTACCCCTGCATCTTGGTCCCTCACATCCAGAAAGCACTCAGGGAATGTGGGCTGGCCTGAGAGAACTGACCTGATACTCCTCCTCAGTAAGGCCCTCAGCCAGGGCATGTTGGCGCAGTTGGTCAGGGTCCTGGGCACGGAAGAGGCGGCTGAGCAGGGCATAGATGTAGGGGGCCTCAGGGGAGGTCTGCAGCAGCACGGCCAGGCCTCCATACCAGGCAGCCCGTGACAGGTAGTGGGCATAGAGGCGCTCTGTGGGTGATAGCAGGCGGAAGGCCTCACGGCAGTCCAGGCTAGACACACCGATGTCATTGGGCAGGATGTATTGGGTGTCCGCCATGGGCCCTGCTGAGAACCATCACCGTCAATCATAACCATCACTTACCACACACCAACTGCACACCTGGCTCTGAACCCTCCTGATCTCATTTAATCCTCCAAAAGTTCATGAGGAAGGGAATACTATTGTACCCATTCACCAGATATGCTGACTGAGGCTAGAGAAGTTTAGGTGACTCACCCAAGGAGATTCCAAAATACATTGGTGGGCCATATTTGGCCTGTGGTCCCTCAACCTTAAAAACTGAATCCAACCACCTAGAATTACCAGTGAGGAAACTGAGGCCCAGAGAGGCTAGGAGCCTTGCCTAATCATACAACAGAGGGGTCAGCAGCAGAGACCCTCATCTCTAGACTCCCAGCCCAAGCCCCACCTGTCTCCTCTCTTCCTTCTCTGACCTGCTAGCCTTCAACTCTTCACTTTTCTGCACCTCCATATTATCCTCTGTAAAAACAGAATAATAATAATCCCAACTTCACCAGGTGGGTGTGCAAATTAGATGAGGTCACCCGGGATAGAATGTACCTACAGTAGTAAATGACTTTCCTTGCACTCTTTTCCTTCCCCAGGGCTCCCAGGATCTGTCCCATTCTCATCCCTCTAATTGCCTTTTCTTCAGACCTCCATTCTCCTGACCCTTCCCTGTGCTCAGCCAGGGAAGCCACAGAGCCACAGAAATTCGGGGCTAGAAGAAAACCCATTTTACAGATAGGGAAACGGAGGCTTGGAGAGGCCAAGCAACTTACCGAAGGTCTCACAGCTCCGTTGGGACCCGGGGGTCTCCTAACCCAAGGCATTCTCCACACCCCCCTCCTTGGCTGGTGTTTCCAGCCTCCCCCCGCCCCCCGAGGCTGCGCCCCGGTAGCACAATCTCCCGGGTTCTGAAAGGGGTGTTAACTCTTTGCTGACCAGAGCATTCCGTGGCTTCGGCGCCGGGATGAATTTGGAAGGGATACTGGAGGGTGAGCAGAAAGGGAATAATCTTGCGCTCGGCCCAGCCTCGCCCTGGTCCCCTGGGGAATGACACGTTGTGACCCCTAAACCCGGACGCCTCACCTCACCGGCAGCAGCTGCTCCGTTCGCAAACTCACTTCCTGCTTCCGGTTCCCCCATTCATTGGGGCTCCGCGAGCCCCGCCCCCACCAGCCAATTGTCTGGCCCCGGAGCCCAGATGGGCGTCGGCCGCAGCCAATAGGCGCGCGCCGAGGGGAGCTCCTCGGGCCGCTTGCTCCCCGCCTCAGGAGCTACGGGGTGGCGCGCGGATCTGCCCTGGTGGCCTTGGCCTTTTGTCCTCAGGCTGCCCTCGCGCGGAACCGAGACGCCCGCGCCAGCTTGGCCGCGGCCTAGTCCAGGCAGACGGGGCTGACAAGGTCCCTGAGCCCGGGCGGAGCCGGCGTAGGTGTCCTGGGCGCAGCACCAGCGACCTCCCCCGACACACGGTCCCGACCCTGCTCTCCTTTGGGGTTTCATCGCAGAGTTCCAATGGGACTCGGGAGCCTGGGGGTGGAGACTCGTCCGAGACTGAAGCTCTCAGTGCAGGGAATCGAGGCTACTGGCGAGCGGGTCCTGGCCGGGGCTGAGATGGTCCCACCCAGGCCGGTCGCAGAGGAACGTCCCCCAATGCTTCCCTGCTCCGCCACTGACTCGACATGGGCCTGTGGCAGCCGCTAGACATTTCGGAGCCTCAGTTTCCTCAGCACAAAGGGGCGAGGGCAGGGAAGGGCTGGCAGATGGGTAAGAAAGACACCGGCGAGCCCAAAGGCAGCCCGGGGCAGAGGCGGGCCTGAGGTCCGCTCATACACGCCTGGACATTCTTGCCAGACGACGTTCTGGGTGGGGCACGGCATGTGGAAGTGCCTGGCGCCAGGCGTGGGCCGAGTGGGGAGCACTGTGAGGTTCCCTGGTTCCGGGTAAGACCTAGCAGAGCCAGGTCGTCTAAGGTCAGAGATCTCTGCCATCTACTGGCTGTGTGGCCTTGGGTGGGTCACTTTACTGGCTTCATCAGCTGGAAAACCCAGCTAATAATTGAATCCATTCCAAGGGATATTGCAGGCTTAAGTGACGTGCTAACTGGGTAATGCCGCCCCCTAGAGTTGTTTGGGGGTAGGGAGTGTTTGGGGACTAAAATTCGGCACACTCTCCTTGCCATGCCTGTATCTAGGCCCAGGGCAGCGTCTGTCCACCACAGAAGCCAGTTTCTCGTTCACGAAAATGCCCAAGGCCCTGATTAGCACAAGTGTTACCAGCTGTTGGCTTTGATGACGATTGCCATTATAAGGAGGAGTTCAAGAAGTTGGTCTATGTCCTTAGGAAAGTCACCCTTCTTTCCTGTGCATCAATTTTCGTTGTCTTTAAAATGGGTATAAAGTTGACTGACTCAAGTGACACAGAAATGTACAAGTACGCTAGTAATGGAGGTAGTGTTGTCCACTGCCACCAGGGTACAGCTCAGGCAACCAAAAGGTCCCAGTACTCCTGGGATCCCACAGCCAAACTGCATGATCACATTTTTATGATCACAGCTAATATGAGCACTTACTGAGGTCCCTTGCTAGTAGCTTCACATGGAGAATCTCATTCAATTCTTGCGAAAACTTTGAGATAGGACATCATCGTTTTACTTATTGTACAGAGGGAGAAACTGAGGCTGAGGTTCATTCACTTCCCTAAGGCCACACAGCATGTCCTCAGTGTTCCTGAACTGGGGACTAGCCTTATTTAGACCTTCTGCCACACTGACCCCTTCGCCTGCCCCAACACACACACACACACACACACACACACACACACACACACACACACTCTCTCTCTCTCTCTCTCTCTCACTCACATGGAGTGGTCTGCTCAGGGGAGTCCCAGCCTTGGCTCTTCCCCATGTGAATGAAAAAGGGGTGGGTAAAGGAGTAACATTATTCAGTATCTGATGTGTTATAGGTGACCTCCACACATTCACAACCACCTAGTGAAGCAGGGACTGTTATTCCATTTGACAGTAGAGGAAACTGAGGCTTTAAGAACTGGCAAGGGCAGAGCTGGGGCAAGACCGGGGCTGTCTGACCCCCTCCACCAATACCTCTAATATCTCCACCAATACCTGTTACTCCCCCTGTAGCAGTGTGATGCTCTGATGTTCTGGAAGCAGGCATCTGATCACATCTCTCAGCACATGTGGGTGCCCTCTGTCCTTTCAACAGCCCAAGTCTGGTCTCTATGGTCCCAACTAGCTGTGTGGCTTTGGGTGGGCCTCCCCTTGGAATCTGCACTCCCTAAGGCTCTGGCATCGGTCTTCTACTGAGGATGATATCCAGATAGACTTATACTCACAGCCTTTTTCTCTTCATATTTCCAGAAAGTCCATTTGCGTGTCTTCCTGGCTCTCTCCTCGGGAATGGTCCAGGGGGAACCCAAGTGACACCCTCAGCTTGGTTCTTGGCTCACAGGGAGTGGTGACCCCTAGCCAGGATGACTAGGGGTCCAGTTCAGACTCGCCCTCCATGGCAACCATCCCCAGCCCCCATTCCTCTTTTCCGCCCCCTTCACACTGAGCTAATTGTTTGGCAAGCATTTTCCCTGCCATACCATGCTGCTCCCCTCACCTGGGTTGCCCTACCAGCTACTCTCTGCCTCTGGAGATACTCTCCCATTCAGGACTGGGCTGAGGCTCCAGGCCATCCCTGTGCCTTCTCAGGAGCCCCCAGTTCTCACTCCTCAGAACCCCTCCAGCGTGGGGGGCAGGTGGCCAGCTTGGGGGTGGTGCTCACATTCCAGCATCAGCACGTGCAGGTCCCTCCTCAGACTGTGAGCTCCGGTGGGCAGGGCCTTGCTCATTGTTGGGGCCCTGCACAGGGCTGGGCACTGAGCGGATGGGTGTCCACCAATCCATTCTCCAGCCTCTTGATGGAACAGTCTCCGAAACCCTGCTCAGTTGGCTTCTGCCCCGGAGGAAGGAAAGCAGCACAGTACGATGGAGGGGGCAGGCTCTGACACCCAATGGTGGCTGTGGATCCAAATGCTGGCTTGGCCACTTTCTGGCTGTGTGACTCGGATTCTGCCTTAATGTCCCCATAAACACAAATGGCAACACCTCCTTCCCTGGGTTAGTGAGGATTAAATAACAAAACCTCTGACAAGGAAAGCCTGGTACCTGGTGAGTGCCTGGTAGTTATTATTATCATTAGCACAGTGCGGGGCACGCGGTGGGCGTTCAGTAATGGTAGCCCTTGTATCACAGCCAATGTTCTGGAACCGCGAGTCTTCTCCCCATCCTTTAACTCTTGACTGTCCACAAATGAGGTTCAGAATCCTCCACCCAGCACCATCCCCTGTTAGCATGGCCCCAACCTCTTGCTCCAACCCTCTTTCTGCCCCACTGTGGCCCATGTTCCTGCCACTCTGCCCCTGCCACTCCGTTCCCTAAGTGATTCACACCCGAGCCTGTGCACAGGCTCTTCCTTCTGCCTACAGCACCCTTCCCATCCTGTGGGCCTGGAGGATTCTGGGCAGCCACTGAGGCTGAGGTCCTATGCCACCTCCTCCGTGAAGCCTCCCTCTTTTCCACCGCCAGTGAGGACTGCTCTACGGCCTGTGATAATGCTCTGATCCTAACACACATGAAATTATGCTGTCACCTCATAATTTGGTCTTCCATTAGACTGTGAACTCCCCCAGGTGGGAAACTAGGCCTGATTGTCTCCGTGTCCCCAGAGCCCACTTGGCATGTAGTCCAACCCACAGTGGGTATCAGCAAATGCTGGTCCCAGCCTGCTGCCCACCCATCACTCATTCAGGGGCTGGAGGCATTGCATGCATGCCGGACACGTGGGATTTGAGAGGGCAGCTGAGCAGCAAGGTTTATAGAGGAACCCAGGGCATCAGTGGGAGAGATGAATATCTGGAACTGGGTTGGCAGGCTCAGGGCACAGCCAGCCTAAGCTGGGGGTCAGGGGTCCATGGCTCCTTCACTCCCCCAGGGCACAGTGTAGGCGGCGTGATGTGGGACGCCCAGGAAGGGCAGGGGCATGGGCTGGACTTCCCTCAGCAGCCCAAGACAGAGCTGGTGCTGAAGGCCCCATCAGTGTGACTGGGTAGAGATCTTCAGGGCCCCCATGGAGGCCAGAGTTGGGGGAAGGGACATAGCCCACCCAACATGTCATGTCTGTCTGGTGTGGTTATGTCCCAGCAGGTAGAGTCCCACATGCAGAGCTCCCTTGGGGCTGCAGGAGGTGGGGGCCTGGGTGGGCAGGCAGGTGCAGCAGCAGGGGGCCCTAGGGAGCCTAGTCCAGTGGCCCCTGGAAAATGAGGCGGACACAGCCATGCTCGCCGGTGAGCCAGGCCCCACAAAAGGGGCAGGCAGCGTGGAAAGCGTGGGTGCCATGGGGCAGTGGTGTCTGGGCCCAGTAGCGGGCAGTCTTCTCTGAGCAGACATGGCCGCAGGGTGCAAAAGCGTGGCTCGGTGGTCCAGGGTCCAGGCAGAGGCCAGCCTCTTGGCCCAGCCACAGGGGCACGTAGGGCCCTACGAGGCGGCAAAGAGGACACTCACGCTCCTGGGGACCCCGCTCCCGCCGGCAGCCCCAGCCATGGTAGCCATGGACGTGGCCGCAACGGACGTAGACCCAGGGTTGCTGCTTATCAGGTGCCGTGCGGCCACGGGCTGGACTGGGGAAGGCCAGGGTGCTGAGGCCCACGGGGCACTGGGGCCGTGCTGCATTCGCTTCCTGCCGCTGGGCCTCCAGCTGCTTCAGCGTGGGTGCCCGCAGCAGCCCCGCTGGTGTGCGCCACAGCAGTGTGGCCCCACACAGGTCGATGAGTGAACCGTCCTGCAGCACGTTGGACTCGTTCTCCACCTGCCAGAGGCAGCAGAAGGATCTTACTGCCCAAGAGGCCCCAGGGCCCTGCCATCAGGCAGCCTCGTCCCAGCTAAGTGCTCATCCATCCCGCTGAACCTCCCTAGAGAGGCATCCTGGGCCAGCAAGGCGGGCTGGCAGAGCAGCGGGGCAGCCAGGAGGCCACAGAGGAGGGCAGGCAGGTGCTCCCCAGGCACGTGCTATCCCTCTTTCTCAGTGGGACTTGGGCCTTAGTTTCCTCACCTGTCAAATCCAGAGGTCTGGACCCAAACAGCGTTTTTCTAAAACATTTTCTGAAGCTCTCCCCTAATGGCAGAGGCAAAAAACGCCTCTAACCGGAAAACGCCTCTACCCCAAAGCACTTGTCCCAGGGGTTGTGGTCAAAAGTAAGGACTCTAGAACTAGACTGCCTGGGTCTGAAATCTGGCCTCATTGGTTACTGTGTATCCTGATCGAATAACTGAACCTCTGTGTGTCTTGGTTTCCTCATCCTCAAGGTGGATTCCGCTTCTGGTATCTCAAGTGTTTCTCATAAAGATTAAATGAATCAGTCAATGTAAACACTTGGAACAGTGCCTGGCATGTAGTGGGTACTTAACAAGTGTATGCTTGTGAAACACTCGTGCATAATTTTTAAGAATAAAGCTTCCTTGAATTTCCCTACAGTCGCACTGATACACTACAGCAGCTCTGGGGTAGCTTTTCCCTGAGATTTTGCATCTGTTTGGCTGACATGCTCATGCCCAGGGAGCTCCGCCTGGCCCATTTGAGGCACGTGGCCGTGTGACCCTGGGCAAGCCCCTACCTCTCTCCAGGCCTCACTCCCAGCTCCTAATCTTGGTTTTCTGATCCGCACCATGTGGCGCTTCCACGGCCACCTGTGTTGGAACTACTCCAAGGGCCCTTTCCTGCTGGGAGAGAATAATAAAGCTAAACCCAGCTGAACGTGTCAGACACATTACAAACTGCCAACACTCCCGGCTATAAACTGCTCACACATGGGCCAAGTGTCACCCTCATAAGAGGGTGTGATTTTCTGAGCTGCCAGCAGCCTTGAAGCCGCTTGGTACTGCACGGTATGTTTGTGTGTGCTCTGCTTCCCAGCACCCCATGGACCTCCCGCATGTGCAGGATACACTTGGGGATGCAGTTCTGGTCCTTTCTGTGGGGCAAGTGGCTCATGCCAAGAACTCCCTGGCTGGGGGAACCCCCAGACAGAGACTATTGGGGCTCCCTTGGGCAGGAGGACTGGAGATCATGGACTGGCTTGTCATGGGGATGGACAGGTTGTGAGGGCCTGGGAAGGATGTTGGGGGAATGGAGCTAGCCACCTACCAGCTTCCCCCGCTGCTGGGCTGAGCGGCTGTCCCGCAGTGTGTACACGTTCCCGCAGACCGAGATCTCCCGCCAGACACCCGGGGCTGAGTCCTCAGAGAAGCCACCCGCTGGATGCATCACCAGGACTCCATTGGTGGTCAAGCCATCCATCAGGCCATCAGGGGTCCGCCATTTGGCTGCCCGCTCCTGGGACCACACAAGGGATCAGATCACATCCCTGAGTGGCCCCTAGCAAATTGTTGCCAGAAGTGCTGCCCCTCTACCCTCAAGTTCAGAGGTGGTCCATAGAGGACTGGAATTGGAGCTGCGTGACTTAAGCATTGCCTGACCTCCCTGGGCCTCACTTTGCTTGCTGGTTAAGTGGGGCTGCCAAACCCTGCATGGGTCTTGGTTAAGATTACGGTGGGCTGGTCCATCACCCCAGGATGCTGCACCTCCCCAACCTACCCCTCAACTCACTGTCAGATGAAGAGCTGGTCCCTGCCTAAGGGCTCACTCACTCCAAGGAAGATGTTGCTAGAGGCATCGAAGCCAGCGGCATAGATGCGGGCAGTATAGGGTGGCCGGCGGTCACAGAGGATGCGGCAGGCATAGCGAGAGATGGTGCTCTGGGCGGAAGGGCCCTCGGCGGCCCCTCCTCCAGGGGACGTGTCTGTTACCACAAAGTCAATCATGTTCTCCGTGGAGCGGCCAATCTGCGAGGTAGGGGAGGGCAAGCACCGGGGATCACAGGTGCACAGGTAAATCTCAGGGGCTTCCCACCCCAGCATGCCAGCAGCTGCTCTACATGCAGGGCCACCAAATAATGAGGTCACTGGGCCCTGAGGAGGGGCCCTCTGGGCCCCCAGGTGGGGTCTCCGAGCTCAATAAGCCATGGTCTGGGGCTTCTCCTCTGCCTTTCCCACAGTGTGGGGGAACATCCCACTCAATAACAACTAGTTGATGTGCTGACAAAAGAGTGAAAGGGTGGTACCCATGGTGTGGGAGTGCTCAAACATCAGCAGCAAAAAGTGAATTTTCAGTAAGCATTTACTACATGACAGGCACCATGCTAAGCATTTTATGGGCAATACCTCGATTACTCTTCCTACAGGCTGCGTACTGTTATGGGCCCCATTTTACGCGTGAGAAAACACAAGGCTAGAGAGGTTAGTGACTCTTGCCCAAAGTCACCCACTGTAAGGGACAGAGTTGGGGTCTGAGTTCAGCACTATGACTCTCACACCCGCACTCTGAACTCCTGTGCTGCATGTCCTCCTGCAGTCTGGGCACCTTGAGTTTGATACAGCCACTGACTCGCTATAGGATTCTGCAAAGTCAAAAGCCTATCCTGGGACATCCTGCTTCCTCATCAGAAAAACAGTCCACTGCCCTGAGTGCCCCCAGAGCACCTTTCCCATGACTTCAGTCCTGCAGCCTCACCCTGGCACACTTGCAGGGCCTGGTGGCCAGGAAGCTGGTGGAGGGGCCTAAGCATACCTGGAACATGTCTGTGTCGCTGTCATGTGTGTACTCCACTATGACTGAGTGGCTCCGGGAGAGTGTGTATGAGATGCTGTGCTGGCCACGGTTACTCAGTGCCTGGTGGGGAGAAAGAAGTCATTTCCCAGGGCATGTGGCCATGAGAAGTGGAAGCCCTTGAGACAGAAGGCCCAGCTCAAGGCCCAGCAGCCACTCCCTGGGAAGTGGCAGTTCCATCCTTTGCAGAGGGTGTACTGTGCAGCAGGTGTTTACATGGGTTACCCTTCTTAATCTCAACAGCTACCCCGTGAATGGGGCCATCATTCCCATTTTACAGTTGAGGGAACTGTGGGTCAGAGACAAGAAACTGGCCTAAAGCCACACAGCTGGAAACAGCAGAGGCTGAATTTTAACCCAAATCCTCTAAAGCCAAAGGTTTTCCCTTTGCCATTATTGTGTGACTCATATCCATCTCTCTGAGCCTTGGCCGCCTCTAAAATGATGCTGATCATTTCCATTCATAGAGTCTGTGGTCAAGGAAACATTTTGCAAACTGTAAAGGACTGTGCATGCTGCAGAGGATTTCCCATCATCACCATTTTCTCTGGTGGTGCAGTAGGCGGTGAGTGATACCAGTGGGCTCCCTGCTCCCAGGCGGCCGTGGGCAGGTAGGACTGCAAAGGCCAAAGACTTGGGCTCTGGGCAGGGAGGGCAGGACTGGCACCCAGGTATACCTTGGAGACGAGCGGTGTGGAGATGTGGTGCATGACATCAGGCTTCACTCCATTGGCATGCTGCCGGCGGCTCAGTGCCAGGCGGCTTCGTCGGCGGCCCTTGTCCCCACTTGCCAGACATCCATTGTAGCTGTGGATGTGGGGGATTAAGAAGAAAGGGTTACAGAGGAGAGAGTGAAGGAAAGTGAGCCCCTGATGAGACTTGGAGGAAACTGCCAACTTCTAGGCAGATCCCACCTGAACAAATGAGCTGTACAACCACCCCCAAAACTAGAAGACCCTACAATATCAAGTTGGTGCATTGGGGAGTTGAGGGTGGGGGGTGTCAGAACAATTTCAAAAGGCCTTTCATTCAATTAACCAAGTATTTCCTGGACGTCCGAACCATGCCTGGACAGGTGCTGGGTGCTGGGGGAGTAGAGGTGATGTACCATGAGTCAGTTTTGTGCCCTCGGTGAAGGGGACCCTCAGCTTCTTACAGAACCTAGGTGCCACCTGCCATGACCCAGGCACAAGCCAAGTGCACCACAGGCCCAGAGGTGGGAAAGGGAATTCTGGCCCCAGGATCAGGTTTCTGAGACTGGGAACACCTATACTGGGCCTTGAAGAACTGGAAAGGATTCACCTGTAGCAAATTGTCATTTATTACACCACTACTAGAAGCCAGAGTGAAAGAAAGAAATAGACCCACAATGCCACTATCTCCATATACCCATACATGTCAAATTTCCACCTTCCTTTCCAGCTCTTGTCTGGAGGGAATGATTGTGAGAGGCAGAGATGGGGTGAGTCACAGCCTTGATCGCTGCCATGTACTGGTGCCTCCATGTCCCTGGTCCTTCATGTTATTAATTACCTAATGGAATCTGTGCAATGTCCTGCCAGGCAAGTGTCTTCCCATTTTACAAATGAGAGAAATCGAGGCTCAGGGAAGTAAAGTGACTTGCCTCAGGCTAGTAAGTGAAAAAGTCCAGATCTGAGTTCAGGTCTGTCTGACTCCAGACTTGCAGAAGTGCTTAAAGATCAAGGGATCACCCTTAGCAAAAGCCCCCCAGGCTGGCAGGCTTTGGTGGGATCAGGGAATAGTGAATCAGGTGAAGTGCACTAGGGGGAAGATGAAGTTGATTGAAGGGCCCTGAACACCAAGCTGAAGACATTATTCTGTAAGCAGTGAGGAGCACGGAAGGCTTTGGAGCAGGGAGTGACAGGATAAATAGCTGCCGAAGACAGACAAGGATCACTTGAAGCAGAATCTGCTGGTAAGCTTGTTAAAGTCCAGATTCCCTGGCCCCATCCATGAAGATTCGGATCCTGTAGGTTTGGGGTGGATCTGTCAATGTGTATTTTCAATGTGCTCTCCAGGAAGCTCTGAGGCACAGCCATTGTGGGGCTTCACTGCTCTGCAGAGGACAGTCAGCTGTCAAGAGGGCCAATACCCTCAGGTCTGCAGTCTCCCGCAAATGGCCTTGCCCTTGGCTGGAAAGCAAGCCCTTTCCTTGGGACACTGAGTAACCGCTTTTCCAATGCGTGCACCTCTGAGCAGGGCATCACTTTTGCCCTCATGAGCTCTTGAGCTGGACTTGAGGTAAGGCAGTTCAGGACACAGGCTGGGGACTCAGATGGGCCTGGCTTAAATCCTGGCTGTTCCATTTATCATATGACCTCTGTAAAATGGGGCTAATTTTTCAGGACCTACCTGGCAGGTTCATTGTGAGAACTAAATGAGATAATGCCTGGCACAGAGTTTGGCATATGTATAGCAAGCCCTTGATAAGTGTTAGCCATTATTTTATTTTTTAAAAGTCCATGGCATGTATGTGTCAACAAATAGTAGCCATTATGATTTCTTGATAATCGTCATAATGATAATATGGCTTATCAAATACAGTCATGTACCGTATAATGATGTTTTGGTCAACGATGGACCGCATATAAGGTGGTGGTCCCAGAAGATTATAATGTAGCTGAAAAATCTCTACTGCCTAGTGACACCGTAGCTGTCATAATGTTGTAGTGCATTACTTTATTTTTTATAAATGTAGTGTAGCCTAAGTGCACAGTGTCTACAAAGTCTACAGTAGTGTTCAGTCATGTCCTAGCCTTCACCTCCACTCACCACTCACTCACTCACTCACCCAGAGCAACTCCCAGTCCTACAAGCTTCATTCATGGTAAGTGCCCTACATAGGCGTACCATTTCTTATCTTTTATACCATATTTTTACTATACCTTTTCTGTGTTTAGATACACAAATATTTAATGTTGTGTTACAACTGCCTACAGTATTCAGTACAGTCACATGCTGTTCAGGTTCATAGCCTAAGAGGCAATAGGCTACACCATACAGCCTAGGTGTGTAGTAAGCTGTAGACTGTGTGTAGTAGGTTTGTGTAAGTGCACTCTATCATGTTCACACAATGATGCAATTGCTTGATGATGCATTTCTCAAAAGGTAATCCATCATTAAGGGACATATGACTGTAGTTTCTTCAGGACCAATGACAGAGACAGAGGCCAAAAGGAGACATGGATGGGGAAGCAGGAAGAGGGGTCTGTGCCTGTTGGAAGAGCTCAGTGGGTGGTGCAGGGATGCTGATCAGGAGAAGACCAGGAAGGGATGAGGTCTGTCCGGCCACCAACTCACATCACTTCCTCTCTCCTGGCCTCAGTTTTCCCACCTGTAGCATGAGGGTCAGTTGTGGCTTAGTAAAAATGCACTAGACCTAGAGTAAGAAAGACCTGGGTCCAAATCCCAGCCCTGCCACTTACCAGCTGTGTGCCCTTGGGCCAGTCACTTCCCCTCTCTGAGCCTCGGTTTCCTCACCTCCTTCCTCACAGCATCTTTGTGAAGATTGAAATGAAATAATGTCCATGAAAGGGCTTGGCACAGGCCTGCCTCCCAGAACACTTGATATGTGCTGGGCACTGTTCTACCTACTTTACAGAAATCACCTCATTCCTTCCTTCCAACAACCCTCTGAGGTAGGGATTATTATCATCCCTATTTGCAACATGGGAAAACGGAGGCACAGGGAAGTTCAGCAACTTGCAGAGGCAGGATTTGACCCAAGCAGTTTGCTCGAGAACCAGAGTTCTTTACCCCACATCACACACACTAGGTGCTTTATGAAAGGCAGCTGGTGTTACTTTTTTCTCATCTGATCAGAAACTTAGGAGGGCAGAGTTGTCTCTGTCATTTATGAAAAACGGGAAGATAAAATAATTATGAATTGAGGTGGATTTGGTCAATTTTGTCTCTCAGCTGGGAAGATGATGAGGGACAAACAGAAGAAGGTCCTAGATGGGCGAAGGGAGCTGGAATCCTGATCTGGCTGCCTTGGGGGGTGCCTGGTGCTGTGCCCCTCCCGGACCAGGGATGCTCACCCTAGGACGATGAGTTCGCCATACTTGATGGGCTCCTCGCCCGGCTGTGCATCTTCACCCGGAGAAGAGAGGACACAAGAGCCCTTGTTCCCGGGATGCTGGAGGTCTGAGGTTCGGGGGGACCCCACTTCAGGATTTCCTTCGAGCACCATTCTGGGCAGAGTGGGAGAGGAAAAAAGAACTTGCAGCTTTCCACCCTAGTTCCCCTCAATCCTAGCTCCAGCCTGCTGCAGGGCCACCTAGGCTAAGGGGAGTGACCTTTCACTGTATTTATTGCTATGGCAACAACTTCACCTCTGCCTCCCCTATACTGCCCCAGGATGCTGGGATACCAGGGAGGGGAGATGGATGGAATGGACCCAAGAGGGAGGGGTGGCCCAGTAAGAGGGTCAAGATATTTGGTGGAACCAGAGGGATGGACCAACTAGGGGTGACCGGAGTCTGCTTTTTGGCCAAGACCCCAGTTTGGGATGTGCCTGGAAGAGGGGCACCCCAGGAGTTGGGGGCCCTTATCCCTCATCTCAGACTCTGTTCCTAGGTTTAGCTCTTAGCCCAGAGACCTCTGAGTTACCCCCCTGTCAGGTTCTTGGAATCCATCTATCCATTTTAATCTTTCTGCCCCTTTGCGGTCTAGGCCTCTGTCCATCTGTCCGTTTTCTCAATGACTCTCTGTCCTCCCAGCCGCTGTCCTTTTCGCTCTCTCTCTTTCCGTCTTCCTCCCCACCTCCGCCTGTCTGCCCCGCACCACCTCGCCATCCATCTGCCTCAGTCTCCCCATCTCGGCCTGGCTCTGCGGGCAGGCCTCTGGACTCCTCCCTCCCTCAGGTGTCTGTCTGCGGTCCCAGGGCCGCCCGGGTCTCTGGAGGCCTGTGGGGGCGGCGCTCCCCCTCCGGCTCTAGCTGCAGCAGAACCGTCCCCGCAGGCAGCCTGTTTGGAAACCATCCCCACGCTGGAGGGACTGCGCCGGGGCCCCGCGCCCGGGGCGGGCATAACGACGGCCCAGCGCATACGCAGATACCCACCCGGTGGCCCCGCCACACAAATACGCGCGCGCGCGCCCAGCTCCGCACCCCCCGAGCCCGGCGGGCAGTGCCCGGACGGGCGCAGAGCCCCCCCACCCCGCGACCGCGGGGACGCGAGGACGCGCAGACAGCCACAGGCGCCCGCCCTCGGACCCACTCCCCTGCCACCCTCAGACACGCAAACACGCCCCCCGCGCCCGCCGGGGCCCG